TATGGAGGTGAGGCAGCATTTTTCCCTCTCTTCAACACAGCGAGTATCAATTATAGCTGCATATTTCCTGAAGCATGAAAATGCTTCATTCTTTAAACATCTAAAGTAGCTAAATCAAATAAAAATGTTTGCAAAATCGCTGATACCTTTGTAAATTCTTCTAGTAGGCCGTGGCTACACCATCTAGTACCGGCTAACCGAATTAATGAAGTGAGTGTTTTTTTCTCTTTCTTTTCTTTTCGCCACTAAACAATGATTAAACTGAAATCATGCTACACTATATTCTTCATTATAGAAAATTATATGAACGCAAAACCGGAATCGGGCTTCAATGAATATATAGATGATTTATTATCACTGTGTGTGTGTGTGTGTGTGTGAGAGAGTGTGAATGTGTGTGTGTGTGTGTGTGTGTGTGTGTGTGAGAGAGAGAGAGAGAGAGAGAGAGAGTGTGTGTGTGTGTGTGTGTGTGTGTGTGAGTAGTGTCTATGGAAATACGGAGTCAATACTTGGTGATAACAAAAAAATACTTATATAATTCGTTTCGGTTAATCTGAATGCCTTCTGTCTTGTGCTAAAATATGATCAAAGTTTTCGCTATTATTATTCTCCGAGCAGTCATCCACACATTCGAAAAGCCGAGTGAGAAATTACATATTTGCTTGTTTCAACTCGAGCTACTGGCTGGGTAGTTCCAAAGAAGGTAAATATTAAGTCTAAAGGGCCCCCACACACGATAATTTTTTTCGTCAATTAATTGATATCAATTTATTGACGTAAATGAACTGATAGAAGTCACTGTGCCCACACACGGTCAATGAATTTACTTCAATTTTGAGTTTGGTTCATAATTTCGAGATGAAAGCATCTGTGGCTCTAGGAATAGTGCTTGCTCTGGACACTCCAAAGCGAAAGAAGAGGAGTAAGTGGCCGAAGAAATGGTATCTCTGTCGAAGGGAACTAGGACATACACGATTGCTGAGGGAATTAAGGGACGACGAGCCAGAGGATTACAGGAATTTCCTCAGAATGGACGCCGAATCTTACGACGAACTTCTAAATTTAGTGATGCCAGTGATAGTCAAACAAAATACTACCATGCGAGAAGCCATTTCTCCAAATGCGCGTCTCAGTATCACATTGCGATTTTTAGCCACTGGAAATTCTTTTGAAGATATGAAATTCCTCACCAGAACTTCTCCACAAGCTATCAGTCTGATTGTTTTTGAAACCTGCCGAGCCATCACAAGATGTCTTCAAGAACAGCAAATCATCAAGGTAGGAGTATACAATTCAAACACTTTATATTCAAAAACTGTGTATTCAAATAAAGGGACAACTTTTATTTTCCACAAGGCCGGTAAGGATCTATAAACGTCGATTATCTCCATCATCATTTTACGCTCACTTTCTTTCTTCTTCTCAGCCATGATTACGATGACGACTCTTTCACTGCTGCAAGGGAAAACACTAAATTATTGATCAATATATTGACGCTTTGCCCACACACGCTCAATTTTATTGAAGACCCATCAATAAATATCAAAGGAGTTTTGATCTCTCAATGAATTGATTCAATGAAATTGTTTCAATTAAATTGATATCAATGTCCCCCACACACGGTCAATTTTTCCATCAATTCATTGACGTCAATAAATTGATATCAAATAATTGACGAAAAAATTGATCGTGCGTGGGGCCCTTAAGAACTTACGCTCAATACATGTGCTGTATAATATATGATATCTTGAAAAAGTCTTGTCCATTCTGATGAAATGGCCAGGTCATCTCTCGCTCTACTTTTGTTATTTATTCAGTCTTTATTTCCTTCTGTTTGTCAATGCACATCCGTGTACAGTATATGCATAGGTGTAGATAAAATTGGTATAATTGTGTTTTGCCACAAAATTAAAGTTTTCATATGTTATCATGATATATCTTCAATCAAGTACATTACTTTTCTTCTCGTCGGATCTATACAGTGATTCAATAAACAGGTCATCTCTCGCTCTACTTTTGTTATTTATTCAGTCTTTATTTCCTTCTGTTTGTCAATGCACATCCGTGTACAGTATATGCATAGGTGTAGATAAAATTGGTATACTTGTGTTTTGCCACAAAATTAAAGTTTTCATATGTTATCATGATATATCTTCAATCAAGTACATTACTTTTCTTCTCGTCGGATCTATACAGTGATTCAATAAACAGGTCATCTCTCGCTCTACTTTTATTATTTATTCAGTCTTTATTTCCTTCTGTTTGTCAATACACATCCGTGTACAGTATATGCATAGGTGTAGATAAAAATGGTATACTTGTGTTTTGTCACAAAATTAAAGTTTTCATATGTTATCATGACATATCTTCAATCAAGTACATTACTTTTCTTCTCGTCGGATCTATACAGTGATTCAATAAACAGGTCATCTCTCGCTCTACTTTTATTATTTATTCAGTCTTTATTTCCTTCTGTTTGTCAATACACATCCGTGTACAG